GGGGCGCTAGTTCTTGTCAGAGTGGCCAGCCCCAGCCCAGGAAGTGTGCGAGTTTGTGCATCTTGGGGTACAGAGGACACTCCGATGGCCAGGCTGGTGCACCACAGGCCATGAGAATTCCGCCTCACTCTGGCTGACTGGCCAGTACACTTGGGCCAGTTCTATCTTCTGCCTTGAGGATGTCCTGAAGAAGGGGTGAGGGTGGGGCCACTGTGGCAATGGAGTTGCTCCTTGTTCAGATAAGATGAGTCAACTGGTTGCCTCAGTCCCTGCGGGACCTGAACCGTGTGTGCCTACCTCTTTACCACCCTTCTGCCTGGCTTCACCGTGAGACTGGTACCACCACCGCACAAGGGTGTATGTGGGCCATGGTTTTTGCCCACCCTCTGATCAGCCTGCCCTCAGGCTATGGCAGCCTAGCTTGCAGCGCCCCCTCCTGGAACTCCACCCATCTCTAGCACCATGGGTCACAGCCTGCAAAGCCATCCCTTCCAGACACAACTGCAAACTGCCCCAGAGCAATCACACAGTGTCAGTCACTTATTATCCAGTGACCAGGAGCCATGCTTTCTGGACCGTAGTTTATACCCTTATTATAGGAATTATAAAAATGGGCACTTTTTCAGATTAGTGAATGAGGGCAAAATTCACTCAAGATGTCCAGAGGTATGTGGAGTGTGTACATGGATGCTCCACGCCAGAATTTTTAAACGTAATTGTGTCATTTGTATATGCTATATGGTTTGTGTAGTACTCATGTGGCCATCCTGACCCTGAGCGTAGTACAGTATGTCTTTCACCATGGTGTCTTCTAGGGTAGCGCATGTGGCAGTATGTATCAGAACTTTTTTACTTTTTTGATTGAGAAATCTTCTGTTTTATGTATCCACGTTTTGTCCGTCCATTTATCATCTGATACACAAGAAAGCTGCTTCTAGTCCTTGGTTATTTGTATTAGTTTTGCAATGGATATTGGTGTACAAATTTCTCTGTGTCTCTCAGTTGTCAGTTCTTTGAAGTATCTGCCTAGAAGTGGAATTTCCAGGTAACATGGTAAGACTATG